GGGGCCGCAGAGCGAGCGCTGTTCTCTCGCCCAGGTGAGGAGCGCGGAGGGGGAGGCGGCGGACGCGGAGGACCCGGGGCTGCAGGCATGTGCGGCCAGGAAGGTGAAGCTGGAGCTGAAGGAGCGGAAGGAGAAGAAGCAAAAAGTAGACGAGGATGAGATCCAGAAAATGCAGTGAGTGCCGGCGTGGCGGTGCCTGGGAGCTCGGGAATCGTGAGCCCGATCCCGAGCTCACCGCTCCCGATGCCCCGTCCCAGATTCCCCCTCCCACAGCGCTCCCCTCTCCTCCCGGCCCTGGGAGGGCCTTCCCGCGGCTCTAAATGATCGCCGTCTCCCCCGCAGGATCCTGGTCTCCTCCTTTTCCGAGGAGCAGCTGAACCGCTACGAGATGTATCGTCGCTCTGCCTTCCCTAAGGCCGCCATCAAGCGGGTACGAGGGAGGCAGCACGAGCCGAGCGGGGCGGGCTGGGCTCAGCCCATTGTTCCGGGACAGCTGATCCCGATGGATTCCAGCTCAAATCCCCGCACCAAGACCTGGTGCTGCAGCTCAGGCTGGGCCCCGAGCACCCCTGAGGGGCTGGGCGGGGCTGGGCTGAGAGGTCACAGTGGGTGGGTCTCTGACTGTCCTCGCCTGTCCCTGTCCTAGCTCATCCAGTCCATCACCGGCACCTCCGTGTCCCAGAATGTCGTCATTGCCATGTCGGGCATCTCCAAGGTGTTTGTTGGGGAGGTGGTGGAGGAAGGTGAGTGGCACCTGCTGAGTGACAAGTGAAGGACCCGGGGTACATTCCCTGCTTGGAGCAGGATGTGGAACAGGACCAGATTTCCCATGGTTCTCCCTTCCAGCAGCAGCCCCTCTGGTCCCACTAGTGTTGCTGCTTCTCATGCAGAGAACCTGGGGTGGCAGCTCTGTCCCTCAGCCCCAGAGCAACTGCATAATTAGGATCTTGCTAATGCTACAGGGACAGAGTTCCTTATGCCTCTAAACCTGCCCCAGTCTTTCTTCATGGGATGAGCTCGGAGCAGTTTGGTACAGGGGCTGGGAGCTGAACCCGTGTTGTATCCACAGCCCACCCAGCCCCCAGGGCTCCAGAGCAGAGGCTCTGAGCTCATTCATCGCCTGGATCCAGCATCTCCACAGTGCCTGAGTGGTTTAGAAGCTTTTTGTCCTGGTTGCTGCCCTGGGACTCCTGTCAGGGAGGAGCTGGTGCAGCAGGTTAATTCCTGGCTCTGAGCTGCAAACCCCAAACACAAACGTTACCTGTTTCAAACTGTACTGAAGCAGCAGCAGGGGTTGGGCAGAGCTCAGCTGGCCCCTGCCATGACCTCTCTCTCTGTTTGTCCAGCTCTGGATGTGTGTGAGAAGTGGGGGGAGCTGCCCCCCCTGCAGCCCAAGCACATGAGGGAGGCTGTTCGGAGGCTCAAGGCACGTGGGCAAATCCCCAACTCCAAGTACAAAAAGATCATCTTCCACTGAGAAAGGTTGAAATGAGCTTTCTGTAGGAGGTTCCCAGATGGACTCTTTCATGAGGCCCCTTTGGGGTGGCCTGTGTGACCTCAAGGATGTTCCTGATGTCCACACTGGGCAGAGCCTGGGTGCACCCTTCACCTGGACTTGGGGTCTCAACACAGCAGGGAGAGGAACATCCAGGGGCTGCAGAGCATTTCCTGCTCTGTGCCCAGATGTGTGGCTTTTTTGTACATTAAACTTATTCTTGTGTTTGTAACCTGACTGGGATCTGCTTGTTGTGTGACCCAAGGTGCTCCCAGAGCTGCTCCCAGCCTGGGGCAGGGCTGGTTCCCTGGGAACATGTGCAGTTATGGCTCAACTGTGCTTCCAAATTCAGTGTTCCAAATCCAGGAGCTGCCCTTAAAACAGCAGCGTTGGGAAGGGAGGGGGAGGGAAAAGCAAGAAAAGAGGCCCAACCATGGAAGGAGGTTAATGAGTTTAATTTTGCTCCTGGTTCACAGAACCAATAAATGCATCAGTGGAAACAAACTGCAGCAAAGTTGCAATACTGCCTAAAATTCAAATTCAAGTTCAGACTTGCACATCTCTGTCCCCTTCCAGGGGCCCTGGGAGTTTCTCCTGACCCTGACTGTGAGAGGTGCTGAGGTCACGTGCTCTCCCACAGCACCTGTGCTGGGCAGGACTCCCTGGGCTTTCCCTGGAACAGAGGAAGAATCCTTAAATAAGAGGCTCCATAAAGTAAACTTTGATATTTACAATCTGTGGGGATCCAAGAGGTTTTGTCCTCCCATGTGTGTGGATTTTGGGTTACAGTCCTTTTTTCTGATTCTTCAGAGCAAAAGAAAGGCTTGAATTCTTCAACAAAACCCACTGACTGAAGTTGCTGGAGCAAGGAATTTGCTGTAAACAACTTGGCCCCAGCTGTGCGCTGCCTGCACACACGGGAGGAGCTGTGGGACCCTGCAGGTGGGCAGCAGGGCTGGGCAAACCCTTGGCACACCCTTCCCATACTCACACAAAATGATAGGAAAATTTGAAAAAGCAGAAGAGAGAAACCTCCCATTTTCAAGCAATTAATGAAAAAAAAGCAGGAATAATGTGGCATTCCACCTCAGGCAAGAAGTTCTGAGAGCTCTTGCTCCCCAGAGGGAGAGGGAGCTGCACAAAGGTTTGGTGAACCAAAATCCAACTGCTGCTTGCAGGCTCTGGGCAGTTCTCAGCAATGCTCACACAGAGCTGCTCCACACGGCTGTGTTCCAGTGTTTTCCTTTTGTGATCAGGGCTGGCAGGTGGTTCTGGTGCCCCTCAGCCCTGCTGAAAGATACCACCCAGTGCTGAAAACCCCACAGCTCCTTCCTCAGCAGCTACGGCTGCTCCCCCTCCCCATGGGGGAACTTGGGCACACAAAGAACTGAGGACAGGGTGCATCCCAAAAATCACCCAGGTCATCTCCTGAGACTGAACCAACCTCCCTCACCCTATTCTTTGATAGTAAACTTGGAATTTACACAGTGCCTTGTAAGGAATTAATGCCTGCTTCAATAAAGCTGAACACTGGGATTAAGTGGGAATAAACTGGACTAAGTCTTATACACTGCATCCATTTCTACACAAGGAATTATTGGTGGAAAAGGGAATCTGAAGAAATTTCTGTACTATCTTGACCCTCTTGTGGGACAGTGAGCTGTGTGCCCTCATTCCATAGTGGGAAATCCCATCTCTGTTTCCAGGTGACAGCAGCCCTGCTCTCCCAGGAGAGCCCTGACCCTTCTGCCACTCCTGTCCTGTCACTGCCCAGGTGCTGAAGCGATCAACCTGCTCCTGCTGTGGCCCCTGGTGAGCACAGCTGGGCAAGAACACAACAAGGAAGGGTAAAAGAAGCAGAAACCCCAACATGGACCATCTCCAGATGTCACCACAAAAGCTGGAGGCTGAAAGCCACCCCCAGATGAGGGGACATGGGGTGTCCCCCAACACCTGATCTGGTGTTTGTGGGCTGACCATGCCCTGGCTCAGTGCAGCACTCCCAGGCCAGAAGAGAGCAAACTCCTCCTCATTCTTCCGATTTGTCTCAGCCAGGCCCCCTCCCTCCCTCTCCCCAGTCCTCTGCAGTCACAGCTGCTTTCAGCCCTGGAGCTGGACCTGTTTGGCAGCGAAATGACCAAACCTGCCCTGCTGGTGCTGGTCCCCTGTCCCCGGCAGTGCCGGCGCTGTCAGAGCTGGAACAGGGGGTTGTACTTCCTGATCTCCTGAAGAAGGCGAGCCTTGTCCATGTTGGCTTCTGCCAGGGCCAGTTTCATGGTCTGGAGCTCCCTTTGCAACTCTGGCACTTGCTTGAGCTGCAAGAGACAGGCACAGAGCAAGGCAGGAGTCTTCAAGGTATACAGTAAGCTGCTCCACAGAAAACCAAAGCAGGAGCTTTTGGGATGAATTACACAGTGATACACAACCACACTGACAGAACTCTTTTTGGGAACTTCTCAAGTCCTGTTTTTGTAACTGGAACTGGACACAGTGGGGAAGATGGAGCCAATCAGAAAACAATCCCTAACCAGATTCTGAATGAGAACAAGTGAGTTCAGGCTGGGCAAGGTGCTCTCACTCCTCAAAACACTCATAGAAGGAGGCCCAGGCTGCTCCTCGGGGTACTCCCTTCCTGCAGCTCCCCACACCTGCCCAGGACTGCAAACACATGAAGGCAAAAGAGAATTTCCAGCTCTCTGTTGTCCAGATAGCAACAGGCAGCAGTGACTCACCTGCAGCCCATGTGCTCCTCCTGTTGGGGCTGGTGAAACAGACTCTGATGGGGCCTTCTGCTCCTCAGGGACTGACACAGGTTTTTCCTGTTTCACTGAGTCCTTCCCCTGGGAAGCTGGAAAGCAACAGAACCCACTCAGGTGTGGACATTCATACAACAGAGCTCTCAGAACAAAAAAGTAACTTTGATTCATTTCTTTCCTCCTT